ACCTATGGGAGGAAATGAGTTAAGGACACATCATTTCCACAGGGTCACCAGCAGCTGACGCGTTGTTTTCATGCACTTACATTCTCAGGGAATCTGGGGGAGGCACACATGCCCAGTCCAGGTTTCCTATCTGTAGCTTAAACAGTAAATACAACAATAATGACAACACATGCCCAAACTACATGTCCTGGGTTCTTTTTTTTTTTTTTAACTGAGAAACCATGTGAAACCGTGTGATGTGCAGTTCTTTTGCAGTACTGTGTGTTGTTGAATCCAATGTGACAATAATGCCTTTGTATATTCTTGTTGTTTTTTTAAGGCTGGAAATTGAATCCAGTTGTGGGTGCCGTCTACAGTCCCGAATTCTATGCAGGTAAAGAGTTTCTCTGTGCACGATGTCTCCTTGGCCCTTTCTCTGTGTGCCTTGCCTGCCAGGTCAGACGTGGGTTCGATCAAACAGTCTCCACAGAGAGACACCCAGTCCTGACAGTTTTGAGTGGTTCATTTGAGGGTAAAACCAAGAGCCGTGATGTCGAGCTTTTTTAAACAACTAAGGGAAACCATGCATGTTGCATTTGAAGACTGCATGGATCCCTTCATAATAGCTCATGTTGATTTGATTTTGCCTTTAAAAGAAAGTACTCTGCTTTGCCCGTTGGCATACTGAACACCTGTAGAGCTGCCCACCCCATTTTAGTTCAATATGCCCGCATGTGTCTTTGAGCCACGTATTTCCATTTGGGGGAAAGGGTGTTCTGTGTTCTTTATTTTATTTTATTTTTGGCAAATGAGAGATTTGGCTTTGTGATCCCAGAAGGTGGCAGTAGGTTGGATTTGCCAAGAGGGCAGGCTGTAAAGAAGATTGGGGATAATCTCTTTGTCTTTCTTTCTACATTAATCTAGTTCCCTTGGCAATTCCATCTCTCTCTACTTTGCTTACCAGGATGTATGTCTCCTTGCACCCCCACCCTTTCCTGCCCACCAGTGCCTCCCATTTGGGGAAATAGACTCAGTTAAAATGCGTGGTCATCAAAATGTGGGAAGACTAGCCCAGAAGCAGCAGATGGACCCAGGGCTGCAGGGTGAGAGGAATCCACAGCTTGCAGGCCAGGCATTGGCTGGAGAGCTTCTCCTGGTTTACTGGCCAAGCCCCAGATGCCAGGCAAGGAGAAGAGGGCAGGCTGGAGGTCAGAAGCTGGGCCCTCAAAGCTGATTTACATAGTACAGCGTGCCCTTTCGTCCTCATTCCCTGGCTCCTGAAAAGACTGCATTCAATCCTGAAAATCCTAGACAGGTCTTCCACCTAGTTATCAGAGAGAAAACATTCTTTGAGGTGGCTCTTGCTTTAAAACAGAGAGAGATAAAGGGCCTCTTGATCAAGATCCGGCCTTTGACAATAAGCATACTTTTGGTATCCCAGGGGTAGGGGGCTTCCTGCCATTTTCCTGATCCTGAGCATCAACCCCGGTGAATAAGAAAAAAAACCCGGGAAACTTTAACAGCTATTCTAGCCAGATCAATACTGTATTTTTTTTTAATTGGAAAAGTTAAAAGTTTAGGAAATCTGGGTAGTTGTCTGGATGTGTAACCAGAACGAGAGCTGAGTTCTAAGCTTTAGGTAGGTAATGTGTGTGGTTGCTCATCAGGTGTGTGTGTTTATCATGAGCCTAGGCTTAACCCAGGGTCCTATAACTTGGGAGTCGCTGTGTTGACATATATGGGGGAAGAGAGGCTTAGCTATGGGGCTTCATCCTGAGACTGTAGAACCAAACTCCAGAGAGCGACTTCGGGGCACATTCCAGCCTAAGTTAGCAGTTTGGCTCACCTACTTAAGCTGTGTGACTTTTAGGACCTTGCTTAACCTCTCTGTGTCCCTTCATCTGTGAAATGGATGATAATATTGTCCATATTATAATTAAATTGGTTAATAATAGAAAAGAAAGTTTGATAAGTGAAAATACGTAAGTTTTACATTCCACCTCTCTGCTATGTTGGGGGTGGGGGGCAATAACCAAGAGCCAGTGCTCCTCAATTCTAGATAAGCCATTTGATGAAAATGTGCTCCTGAATTCACGAGAGGAGAAGTCCCTTATTTCTTGGCATGTCTATTTAAAGGAAACCAACAACAAGAAAGGCTGTCACCGTTGGGTCAGTAGATTCACAGTGATCTATAAGGTAGAGTCCTGTGCAGTGGCGTCATTAGTTTGAAACCTTCATGAGACCTTTTGGTGAACAGCCAAGCCCTTGACCACGGTGCCACCACCCACTACCCACTGCCATCAAGTCAATTCCAACTCTACTCTTTATAAGGTTTTCATACTGTCGATCTTCATGGGAGCATCTTTCTCCTGCAGAGAGATGGGTGGGTTTGAACTACTGACCTTGAGGATAGCAGCCCCAGGACCCTTGTGGGAGGTCATGGGGGGCAGGAGAGGGAGTTAAATGTTGGTGTCAGAGGCTGTACAGTCTGGACCCTAGGCATCTGGAACTCAGTAAGTGTTGTTCAGGTACATCCTTGCCCAAAGTTGCAAAGAAATTAGGTTAACAAATGCACAGGTAGTAGCTTCCTTGTTCCCACATCCAGGGTCTCCTGTGAAATGGGAAGTTGGGGATTGGAAATAACAGATTCCTACCCCTGTACCCAATGCATGCCCCCCCCCAAAAAAAAATTAGGGGAGTGTCATCAAAGACCAAGAAGCCCTGCTCAGAGGATGGAGAACATAGATGTGCAAACTGTGATAGAGAGAGAGAGAGAACGCATATTTCTGTTTCCTGGGATGAAGTTGTGGGTGACTCTTGTTTCATTGAACCAGGAAAACACCCAGTATTTCCTTCATTTGTGTCTCTTGCTCGGATGTTTGTGCCCATTGGGGCAGGGGGCTATTCAGACTAACTTGTCCGCACTTTCAGAGCATCCCATACGCCATTAAGCCAGCCTCCAAAGTTGCAACATGGTATCCCAGGGAGACAGTAGTCATGGTAAGAGTTAGTACTCACTGAGAACTGTTTCTAAACCAAACGAGCCCGGGCAGTGCAGTGGGTTAGGCACGGGCTCCTGAGCTGCCTGGAGGAGAGAGGGGAGGCCATCACTCCATAAGGAAGAGGTCTGCCCTGCCCTTCAGGGCTACCACCTGACAGTATCAGCTCCGCAGCAGTGAGTTGGTCCGTTGTTCCTGTTGTGTCCCCTGGACCAGGGGCTGCGCTCGGTGTTTTACAGAGAGGAAGGCATGGAATTCTTCCGGCAGTTTTCCAGACGAGGAAAAGGGAACCCGGAAAGTTGCATCACTGGCCTGAGATCTCATGGCAGATAAAAAGGAGCCTTGGTGGCGCCATGGGTTAAGTGGGGCACAGCTAACAGCACGGCTCGAGATTCAAACCCATCACGCCTCTCCGTGGGTGGCAGCGGGGGAGGCTGTCTGCCCCCGTGAAGATTCACCATCACGGGAACCAGGAGGAGCAGATCTGAACTCTTGCTTTGATTGAATCGTGTGGCCTGTGGCTGAAGTGCCAACACAACGGTTATTTTTTTTTTTTTAAGAGCATTTCCACTCTGTCCACAAGGGTAGCTTTTAGTCAGCATTGACTCAGTGGCATTGGGTAAGCTGGCACCCTGGAAGCTCAGAGGTTAAAGCACCCCAACGCAAACCCCAAAGCCAATGTTTCAGACCCAGCAGATTCTCCACAAGAGAAAGATGTGGCCGCCTGCTCCCATCAGGATGGTAGATTGGAAAGCCTAAGGGTAGCCCTCCTCAGCCCTGGAGGGTGGCTACTAATTGGAATCCACTTGATGGCAATGAGTTTGGGTTGGGTTTTAAAGAAGCAGACTGGGATTTTAAGCCATCCTGCAGTGGCCCCAGAACTTACAGACCCTCAACTTACGGATGATCTTTCTGTGGTGGCTGAGCATGTCATTGCTCTGAACTACAGTTTGGCCCCACATGGCCAAATTGAAGAAGAGGAGCAAGATGAAATAATTCTGTATTATTCTACCAACACCCACTGCTCTCTCAGGAAGACCTGCAAACTGGGTATGGCTGGGCCTAGGGGAAAAGAGAGGCTGAGCCAACTCCTAGTTCCTAGAAGCTGCTCCAGTCACATGAGGTCGAAGAAAGTGGGGCAAGGTCAACGAATTGCTCCTGGAGAAATCTGAATATTTTCTTGCTGCCCATGGGCTGGATCCCTTCATATCTTTTTCCTTTCAGACTGCACGTATGCACATATGTTGGTAGACAGCGTTCACAGCGCGCACAAATGTGGGACACGCTCCTTTGAATCCAGTGCCCCTCAATCTCGGGGCCCTACTAGAAGACTCACAGTAAAGAAGGATGCGGCTAGTTTCAAGATGAGGTTTCCGTCCCCTGCCTCTGAGTCTTTGCAAAGGAGAGCTGCTCGGCGCCTCTGTCCCTGTGTAGTGAGGAAGGCCTTCCAAGAGATGGATGGGCCCGTGGCAGCAACAGTGGGCTCAGACCTAACAGTGGTACCGAGGGTGCAGGGCCGGGCAGCCTGTTATTCTGCTGCACACCGGGTTGCTAGGAGCCGAAAGTCAACTTGAGGGCACCTAGCAACAACCTTCAAACACCCAGGAGTTAGCATATTGCAAAACAAAAAACAAAGTCAGGATTTACCATGCAGAATGGAGCAGTCTCCAAATCACCAGGAAAATGTGTCGCACGGATCCGCTTTGAATATGTGACCAGCCAGCTCCGTCTCAGCCAGAGATAGAAAGCTAGACTTATCAGTCACTTTTAGATAAGGAGGCCTGGCATTAATGACAAATATCATAATATTCCCATCGCAGAATTATCGATTTACCGAAGCTTATGCAGAATTCACAACCTGGCCTCCCATTCTGGCCCCAAATAGGGCATGAAAAGTTCACATATTTGGTAAATTAAAATCAATATTTCCAATCTCTCCTGAAGGTAATTTTCCTAATTTAGTGGACTTTCCCCATCACATTTATTTTCTCTTTTAATTATAAAATGGCAGGTTATTGATTTTCGGGTATAACCTCTTGACGTCCCGAGAGCATTTTTTATTCCTCATGCTTGGATGGGGGTGGGGAGAGTGTTGCAGCTCTTAATGAGGACTTTTAATTACTGCCTGAACGATAGTCATTTGCTTTGATAAATTATGACATCCACTCCCCCTCACTGGCGCACCACAAGGGAAGCATTTAGCAAGCCGTTAGCACCCCATTTTTCATGCCCGGTGATTATTTGGGACTCTTGCCCAGTCCAGTCCTACCCTGCAGAACTCTTCATTGTCTTTGTGTTTGGTGAACTTGGCTTTGAGCATGCACCCCGCGGAGGAGACAGCTTACCCACAAGTTCTCCATGCGAAGTTCAGTGATGTGGTCTCAGCACCCACACC